TATCAGAGGCGCGGCATCAACGGTGTCAGACGTCAGCGCTTCGAATTTGCCGCAGCACCCGCCCAAGGCGGATGCATTTTTTTAATATTAAGTGCGCGAACCAATGCGCTTTGACAATATGGTCGAACACGTGAGCCGTAAGCTCACAACTAACAATCAAAAGCCCGCAGGTGGCAACCTAATAACTACTACATAAGACTTAGCCGCTTAGTGCTAAATCCAGCAGCTCCCAATCGCTTGGCGCCTCGCCTAGCCGCCTAGCCCCGAGCCCTGAGCCCCGAGCCTCTAGTCTCTAGTCGGTCACCCGTCATAGCGGGAGCTTGCTAGCTTGCTCGGCCACCCGACATGGAGTTGCTCCAGTCGGCGCCATGTCGGCGAGGCATGTGGCCACTTGCCGTTGCGGGGGATTCACTTGCCATCCGCCATGGTCTTAGGGCACCAGGGCGTGTATTGTTTCAGACGTCGTGGTCTCGGGGCCTTCGGATCGGGGGCCTCAGGCTCGTAATGTTGCATGGGCCCAGGGCCCCAGGGCCTTGAAGTCATGTGGCCCAGGGGCCGTTGGTCCTTAGGCCTTGGGCCGCAGGTGAAAAGACCAGCGCAATGCGCAAAGCCTGCAGTAGTACATCATATCACCAGCACACCGCTCACCATATAATGATGTAGCATAGCGTTGCATAAAACCGCATAACGATGTAGCATACCATGGCATACCATAACACATACCACAACACCACAACACAATACCATACCATGGCATACCACAACACATGCCATACCATAACACAATACCACAACACCATACCATACCATGGCATACCACACACTGACTACTACTACTCTTACTACTACTGCTAACGTTTCCTGGTTTTGCAGTGTGAGGCGTCTTTGTTTCATACAATCCTGGGAACTCTTTAGGGATGGTGGGGGGCCCGCTGGGAATTTTTCGGGATGGTACAAGCCATACTGGGAACTCTACAAGTATTGTCAAGCGTCTAGCGCCCAGGGCTTACAACGAATTTTATCGGGATGGCAAAGGACCTACTACCTACTACCTACTGGTAACTGGTAACTCTTTGGTGATGGTGCAGGACCAACTGGGATCTGTATACGGGCGGTACTGGAGATTTCCGGAACTCTTTATGGGTGGGGCGGCATTTACTGGAAGCATTACATGGATGGTACAGGGCCAACTGGGAACTCCGTAGGGGTGGTGCGGTGTATTGGACCTACAGAGGGCCCTGCATGAAAGGTACGGTGCCTAATCCTACTTATGTATCGGTGTTACAAAGCCTGCTAGGTGCTAGGAGCTAGGAGCTGGGATCTGGGAACCTCTAAGTCGACGCGCCCCTGCCCCAGGCCATAAGGCGGCGAGGCCAGGAGGCCACGGAGCTCAAGACCTAAAACCCAATACCTAAGGCTAGCCACCTACCCTATGACCGCGCCCAACTGATTGTGAGGATGTCTCGAGCGATGCGCTGGTTCCAGCATCCCCAGGGGGGAGCCGCCAGGGGAGTCAGACAGTCCCCTGTCGCCCTCCCCGACGGCCTGTTCCGACGGCCTTTCCCGTCATTTGCTGTTTTAGACCGAACCCTTCCCGACGGCCCTTCCCGACGGGCCATTCCAGACGGCCCTTCCCGACGGCCGTCCCCGACGCCCGTCATGACGGGCGATCCGTGTACGGAACCGATCCTCATCGCATGAATCGGCACCCTGCCGCCGATCGTGATTCGGGCAAGTTGGCCGACGAGATTGCGTTGCTTGGTCACGACGGCGAGCTCAGCGTGACAGCGAAAGGCGGATATTGGACAAACAGTGGTTATTGGAAACCGTGGCCTGAGGACACAAAGAAACAGATACTGATGCACCATCGGGCCTTGAAGGCGGCCAGAATGAACAGCAGCGACGACAGCAGCACCGACGACAGCGACAGCGACGACATGTCAGACAGCCCGCCAGGGCCGTCGGCGGCGCCATCAGCCGCAGCACCGACATCTTCGGCGTCGGCGACAGCAGCATCAACTATAGCATCGACCTCATCGGCGGCAGCATCGGCGGCGTCAGCCGCAGCACCGACATCTTCGGCGTCGGCGGCACCATCAGCCGCAGCATCAACCACAGCATCGGCGGCAGTATCGGCGGCAGCAGCCGCCGCACCAGCACCAGCGCCAGCCGCGCCATCGACGGTGAGTACCTCGTTCAATGTCGACGTTGGGAGAGCAAGTGCGCCAGGCAAGATCACTTACTATTCAAGTCGTTGAGGTCGTTTTGAGGCAGTGTGCTATTTTCATGAAGGCCTATGCCGCCGCTCGAGGACAGCGGCAGCGCCAACGGGTGCCCGATTGATATCTAATCCAGGTCAGGGCCGTTGCGTCGGTGAGCTGATTGCGTGGTTGAAGGCTGGACCGCACCTCTCGCGAGACCAACATATGATTCACAATCCAGATAAGGTATCACGAGTTTTGGCCAGGTCCGAGGCAAAGCAGTCGGCCCACGGTCAAGCAATTCTTGCGTGCGAGCGCCAGAAGAGCGCAGACTCAGACAGCGAGCCCGAGGGACTGTTGTAGGCGATCGGCCGCTCCCAAAACAGGACCATTGGCAGCCTTGCATCATTGCCTGTCCCTCGGAAGACCACCAAATCCCAAATCGCATCATGGGGCGTTTTTTGGGGCGCTCTTGGAGCGTTCCTGGGCGCTCTTGTGGCCGTCCTGGGGCTATATTGGGCCCGTCTTGGGGCCCTCTTGGGCCGTCTTGGGTCTTGGAGCCATCTTGATGCCTCGGATGGCTGGATGTCCATCGGAAGCGAAAAGGCGAGACGGCAAACGTCAATGGGTTTCTGCAGGTTGTTGGAAGGGTTTGGCGTATTGGGTGCCTCGTTGGGACGCTCTTTGGCATCTTCGAGACGTCTGGTGGCGGTATTGAGGCACCTTGGAGCACCATCGGGTCCATCTTGGGGCATATTAAGCTATACCGAGCAATATTGAACCCATCTTGGTGTCTCCCATGCGCTCTTGGAGCCGTCTTGGGTCTTGGGCCATCTTAGACGCTCCAACCCCTCGCCGCGCCTCCCGTCCAGTTCCAGGGTAGGGGTAGGGGAGGGGTAACCGATAACCCCCTCCCCAACGGGGAATAAGGTTGGAAGATGGGGCGCCCTCAACCCTAAACCACCATCTCAGCAATTGCAGTTTTGGCGTTTTGGCCGAACTTTGCGCCCTCCATTTCTGTGAACTGCAGTTGGATGCAACGTGCAACCCGCAACCCGCCACTGATCATTGCATATGGCATCCGCTGATGGTGCCGCCAGACGGCGACTGCAAGAGTTGTTGAGCAATGATGGACAATGGAAAATGTACGAGACGTGGCAGGCTGAGAATCTTGACTTCCCGATGCCGCCCAAGTGGCGGCTGCACTTGTTGGAGATTGCCGAACTCAGAGAGACGATTGAGACGAGTACATACAGCGAGTTGAAGTGCGCAGCGAAGGAAGATGCAGAGAGCCCAAGCACACAAACACCAGGCCCGAGTTCCAAGACTCAGAGCCCGAGTTCCCAGGCTCAGAGCGCCAGCACGACTCAGAGTGCCAGCCCGACTCAGAGTGCCAGTCCGACCACCCGAATGCTATTTCTAGATTCCAGATTCTAGATTTCCATCGTGGCAGTGTCTCATGAGAGTTCAGCCCGCTGGAGGGCCACCGTCGTGCGGCTCGCACTCTACTTCATCGCCAAGTGAGGCTGGCTATCGCCTTGTCCCTTGTCCGCGCCCCCGTGCTGGCGCCCCACCGTGCGCATCAGCATCATTTGAAATGTTGCAGGAACTGATTATATACTAGAGGGTTGTGCGAGCTAAGCCTCACTACTCCAACCCTGGGCCACCTTCTCACAGGCCTCTGGGGAGTTGGCCTGAATGGGAAGAGAGAGAGAGAGAGAGAGAGAGAGAGAGAGAGAGAGAGAGAGAGAGAGAGAAACATCGCCTGCAGACTTTAATCAATTTCATGGCTCACGCTATTCCGCAGACCACCAGAATAAGTGAGTGCTCGCGGCCACCGTGGAAGTTATATTATCGGCATGGGGCATGGAGCATGGAGCCTCTTGAATGCATATGAGAGGCTCTTGGGATGCATCTCAGAGGCTTCTTGGCGGGCGATTTGTGGCTTCGGGAACTCCTCGTCGAATCATTCCTCGGGACTCTTGCGCTTGCGATGTATCTCGGGGCCTTGAATCGAGGCCCCGAGGCTCGAATCAGCTGCGGGAGAGGACCGTCGAATCCCAGAGCAGCCACAGCTCGACGCAGCTCGATCAAACTGGCGACCAGAGCGCCCACAGCCAACAAATAACACTCACGACGACTTCTGGGCACCGCTTAATGCAATATTGGGGCTGTCTTGGGCCGCCTTGGGCGCCCCTGCTGCCGTCTCGGGGCCTTGTTGGGCTGGCTTGGGTCTGGGGGTCTCATTGGAAGCCTCATGGGCCGTCGTGGGGCGATCTCGGACCCACCGCCGCTTGTCGCCATCCCTCCACCCTCTTCTTGCTGGCGCTGAGGCACAAGCATTTTGCTTGCAAGACTGCTGCTTACACATTGCAGCACGGGGCTTGCTTTGCTTTCAGCAGGGCACCGCCTATCGCCTATCGCCAGAGACGATATTGTTCAACGGACGTTTGACCGCAATGGCGGATGGACGCAATTGGCCAGAGACGATGTTGATCAACGGAGTGCGCCGAGGCTCGCCGCACGTGCAGATGGTAGCAGGGCACATGAAGTGCATTCCGTGCGATACATGGGTACAGTCGCCAGGGCATTTGCTCAATTCTCGCCACAGGCAGAAAGCGTGGTATTGGTTGTACGGGTGCGCTCAGCCAGGGTACAGAACGAGGCCGCATTGCCCAAAGGCAGATTGGGAAAGCAGGGAGATCAACGACAGGCATTGGGAGGATCACGACAGCCCTCCCAGCGACGAGCAAGGAACCCAGGACAACGGCGACCAGTGGGCGAGGGCGGCCGCTCAAGGTCTCGGAGGTCGCGGCAGGGGAGGTCGCGGCAAGGGCGCGCCATGTGGAAGCGTCGGCCACGCTACTGGCGCAGCAGGCGGGGCCGACGGACGTGCCGCAGCAGGTAGTGATGATGGCGCAGCCCGTGGTTCAGACGGAGGTAGTGCTGCAGGTGCCGCCGATGGCTCAGCACGTGGAGCTGACGGAGGAGGCGCCGCAGCTGGCGGCGCAGCGGATGGAGCTGCCAGCGATGCATGCGACCCAATGGAGATGGACTTGGACGCCGTCAGCTGTACTCGGACTAAGCACTACCTCGACGCCATCACGCAAGACATGGGCTTGATCAAGAATGCCCTCGAAGGCGTAACCAAAGGCATGGAGGATCTGAGGTCCGCGTTGGCGGCCATGATTACACGTTCGCGTCGGGGGATTGGAACAGCAATAGATTGGAGATCTACGTTCCACCTGGCACTGAGTATGACGAGCAGTCGTTGTTCAGTACAGTTTCGAGCGGCATTGCGAAGGCCCTCGTATTCAGAAACTTCACGGTGTACCAGCGGAAGAAATGGATGGGCGCAGACGAGGCGTGCTGCGACTTCGCGTTGCCGCTTCTGTTAGGGAACGTGCTGGTTGAGGCGTACAAGGTTTTCTGCGATCGCATCAACGGCCTGCCATATCGACCTGCTGCGCACCATCCAGGTGGCGATGCTCCAGCGGCAGCCGCGCTCGGCGCCTTGCTCGACGCTGGAGCCCTCCCCGACGAGGAGGCGATGGAGGCTCGGCGAGACGATGCAGTCATCGACCCGAGGGGGCTGGCCCCCATTGCCGTAGCAGCGGCCGAGGTCGCGAGGAAGCGCAAAGTAGCTTTGGATTGGCTGATGTGCAGGACCAGAAATTCGCCATGTTCCCAGGTCGTGGTGCTCAAGATGATACTGTCTATCTTGCAGACAATGCAGGCGGAGGAACTCTACATCGGGTCCAAGAAGTGGGGGCGGCGCCAGGAGGCGCAAGCTGCGCGGCTGGCAGGGCAACCCAATACGGGCAAACTGCTTCGCACATACGCAGTGTTGGTGCACGCGGAAGGCGAGATCGAAGCTCGAGCAGTGAAGAGAATGCGGACCCTTCTTCTCGAGCATCGCATTTGGATACTGTTGCGAGATGGAGATATGACAAACGATTTGAAAGCAGACGCATTTACAAGCTTATCGTCGGCAGGGGCCTACATCGAGGACTTGATCGCGGGCCCGCATTCCCAACCACCGTGGACTTTGTTTCCCGTACTTAACCATCCCGAGCTCGCAGATGCAATCCAGCAGACGCCGAAATGCCAATTGGACAGATGGAGTAGGAAATTCTTGGAAAGAAATGACATCCGCACAGACGAGGCCAAAATGAAGCTCTTGGTGCACGCCATCCTCATTTCAATGAACACTGATCACCTCGAGGTCTCGAACTCACATATTCGCAGGATTGTGAAAAAGCATGTGCAATGCCAGCAGGCTGATCCAATTGGGCTCGGTACGAAATGGATGGCTGCTTGCATTCGCGCCTGGAGTACGGCGCCACGAGTTTCTGTGGATTCTGGGGCAGACACCGAGGGCACCGACGAACACAATCCTGGCGGTCCAAAGTATGGTGGCGGCGGCGCATGGCGTGCTTTCGTGAGGAAGCAGAGGTCGAATGATCTGGCAGAGGCTGGCCGCTTGTATCGGGCCCTCAAGGACACCGTCGGTTCTGAGGTGCTGGAGCAGTGTATCGCGGAGGGCAAGGCGGCCACAGAGAGGCGGCGAAGGGGGGAATCAGCGTTCGGCATGAAGCGTAGCAAGGTCGATCGCCTGCAAGAGCAACGGTACTTGGTGGCCAGGATGTCGGAGGGCAATCTTGAGAGTGCAGTCGACAAGGTGATCAGCGACGCGCAGACGTATTCCTACGATGTCGCCGAGACGATGCTGCTGACCAATAGATTGCGCAATACTCGTGCTGCAAAGCGACGCGAGGAGGAAGAGAAGGACTCCATGGACATTGCCGCCTTCGAGGCAGCTGCGGCCGAAGCTCGGCGGGGCGAGCTCGCCAGTCAGATGCCCGAGGCTGCCAGCCATGTTTCAGGACTGAGAGTGGTCCCTGGCCCCATCCACGGCATGAGGGTGATGGAAGCCGACGTTGGGTCGGCTTGTGCAGACGCCACGGGTTTGATTCAGTACGTGAATGATATGCAGAAACATCAGAAGAATTTCATGTCATCCTTGGGTAATTATTGGAACTTCCTTCACAGGACGATGCGCGACGATGCCGCTGATGCAGGCAAGTCGAGCGATGAGGAGGAGGAGCATCGCCATGGTTGCTGCTGGGGCCTGGGCGTCTGCATATGCTCGGATGCTGGGGCGCAGCTTTGGCGTTTTCGGAACTCAGTGCTGCTCGCCATGAAGGCCATGTGCCCGAGGAGCGGGTGCAACCGCAGGACGCTGCTCAAGGACGGTCACATCGTCCTGCGATTCGAGTCGTCGCTTGCTGACGGTGCAGATGATGCTTTGGCTGACTTCTGGGGTCTCGGCACGGACGTCCGCTATTGGCACGTCAGCAGCCAATCCTTGGCGCCATTTGTGCCGCGCGTGCAGGAGATGACCGTGGCCAGTGATGAGGAGGCACTTGGCGCCAACCGAAGGGGAGATGATATTGCACTCAAGGTGGGTCGTGCGAACTGGGGCGTCGGGGTATGTGGTTGGGGCCCAGAGCTACAGAGCCACATCTTGTTCCATGGGGCCCCTGGCGCTTAGCTTGCCCCCATCATCAATTCCATTGGCGATGTCCACGAGGGCAGTCTGGGGGTCTGGAGGAGCGGCGCTGGCCGCGGGCACTAGCATGTTCAAGCAATAGCGCCGACAATGGTGAAGTGAGGCCTTCGGGGGGCCTCTGGGCTCTTGGCTCTTGGCCCGTGGTGCTATCTTGGGCCGTGGGATCTTGGGTATTTGGGTGCACTATTTGATAGATTCGGGCTTTTGCCACCCCCACCACTATTTGATAGATTCGGGCTTTTGCCACCCCCACCATTGGGGCTCTCCTTGATCTCCTCGGGAGCTTCGGGCCATCTTCTGAGTTGTAGCCTGTAGGCCTGTAGCCTGTAGGCTGTAGGCTGTAGGCTGGAACGGTGGATATCATTAGTTTGCGCATCACCGCTCGGATGTGGCATAGCGCACAACATCATGTTTGTGGCCTCTTGTTGCACTCTTGGGTCATGGCGTCTTGGCTCTAGGGTCTACTGTCTAATGTCTAGGGTCTTGGGTCTAGGGTTTAGGGTCTAGGGCTCGCATGGTGCCACCTGGAGCCTGGGCCCCCCTGGAGCTGTCTCTGCACGCATCACACCCTTCTGAGGCCTCGCGATCTTGGGGCAATCTTGAGGCATCATTGGCTTATGGGGCCCATCGGTAGCGACACTGTGATAAAGAATAGTGCGCAGGGAACGTCTATATTCTATATATTACTATGTCTGGTGCTTTCTAAGCTATGGGCCCCGAGCCGCATTCCCGCTGCGCTCTCGGAGGGCAGCGACTGATTGGTGCAACCTGTATGTGATGGCTGAGCGGTTTTCGTTCAACCTGACCTGGCGCATGTCCTTGTTGGAGCTCGCCACGCACACACGTTCATGCCCTCGTTTCCAGCCCGCGGTGCCTCTCTTCAAAGAGTTTTACCCGCCCGTGGAGCAGCGACAGGTATGGCCTGCACTGCCGCGCAGCAGGGGTCGGCCTGGACCTCGGGGCGGCCGTGGTGGAGGCGACGGCGATGGCCGCGGGCGCGCGCGCGGCCGCAGTGGTGCCCGCGGGAGAGGGCGAGGGCGCCGCGGGCGCGCCGCTGCCGCGCCTGCCGCGCCCGCGCCGCAGCCAGAGGCGGGGCGCGGGGCTGGGGCGCGCGGCCGCGGCCGCGGTGGAGGCGACGGCTACGTGCATGAGCCGTGGCTGGAGGGCTCGGACGTCGGCTCCGATGACGGCATGGGCGGCGGAGACGACGTGCGCATCGATGCACACTTCGACGAGCGCGACGAGGCCGAGGGGTCAGACGTCGGCTCCGACGGCGCGGGCTCGGGCGCGAATGATTCAAGCTCGGACGGATCTTGGGAACAGCACGGCTCCGACGAGGAGCTCGGTCTTTAATTACACCAGCCCACCTCCCCCATCCTTCCGGTTTCGGATGGGGTGAGGGGAGGGACATATACGGGGGCGGGGGGTAGGGTAGGGTCAAGCCGTCAAGCCAGCTCGAGCGAGTCAAGCATTGCATGCCCAGTCCCATGCGCCCTCCCACAACATGAGAAACAGTGATGGGTGGGACGCGGTGGTAACGGGATGGGAAATCGGTGGGGTGGGGTGTAGTGTGTAGTGGGCATGGGGTGGGGTAGGGTAGAAGGGGGGAAGGCTGTGGGAAGCGGCGGGAGGAGCGGATGAGCAGTGATCATGATGGTGGGGGCGGAATGCGATGGGGAGGGTGGGTGGGTGGGGGGGGGGGAGGATAAGGATGCGTTGATGGCCCGAGCAGGTTGGGGGAGAGGGGTGAGGGAGGGGCGATGCGCGAAGTAGTATTGGGAATTAGGAACTAGGAACTATGATGCTAGGTTATAGGAGCTAGGAGCTAGGAGCTAGGAGGCAGGGCAAGGATTGATAATTGGTGAAGCGCGTGGGTAATGCAACGCGGAAGGCTAGGGGCTACGGGCTAGGGGCTAGGGGCTAGGGGCTAGGAATATGGCGGGGATCGTGGAGATGGGGTGCCGATGAGGGTGATGATGCTGAGGGTGGTTGCGAGGGGCGAGGAGGAGGGCAAGGGCGGGGAAGAGGGGGTTGCAGGATGATGGGTAGGAGGAAAGGGGGTAGGACACGGTGGAACTCAAAGAGGCTGGCGGCCCGCCCTCCCCAGACAAATCCGCCCCCCTCCCCCTCTCCCCCCCGCCGCCCCCACCCACCGCGCCATTCCCGCCTCAGGAGACTGACGACTCGGGGTTGTCGTGGGCGGGGGACACGGAGGAGGAGGACACCGAGGAGGAACAATCTAACGGTTTTTCGGTCATTCCGCTGCCCCTCGGGTTCGCATTGATGGTGGTTTCGCCTCAGCGCCTCAGCACATGTCACGCTCCAGCTCCTGATGTGGGCGGGGAGCTTCAGAATTGCGCGGTCGCGGTAGCGTGCGCGCGCTTTTCGAATTGCGCTTTCGGCTCGGCGCCAGCCTCGCCCTTGCCACTCTGCTGCCCTGCAGCCGCGCGTTGCGATTGCCACTCTTCTGTATCCCTCTGGCGGTGGCTGCGCGGTTGACCCCCCCCGCCATGCACGCATACTTTGCGCAGCTCGTGCGTCGAATTCGTCGGCGACGTGCGCGTTGCTCGCCCGCTTATGCGGAAACGTGTCTGCGGCGGGCGGCCGCCGCATACTGTATGTTGCGCGCGCGCGTTAAATTCTTAACGTTTCGTGCAACGTGTAACCCGACCTGCATATTCAGAAGCCATGCCCATGAGAGCTGACGGGGAATGTCAAGAAGGGACACATATAATGAACCAAAGTGGGCAATGAGAGAAGAGTGGTCAGGGTGTTGGAATGTTGGAGCCCTCTCTGAGCTCTTTTGGAAGGTCTCTGGGCCTTCTTGGGATTCTTGGGCGGGCGGGGGGGGGGGGGGTGCATCGGGGCCCTCTTGATGCCCTTCTGTGGCTCTCTTTTGGGCTTTTTGGGAGCCCTGGAGGACCTCTTGGGGCTGTCGTGGAGGGTGTCGGTTAGAAGATATGGCGTCTTCCCGTGGTGTCCCCCTCTGGGGCAATCAAGATAGCCCCTTGGGACGTTCTTGGGCCTCTGTTGGGGCGCTATTGGGCGCTCTTGGGGTCGTCGCAGGGCATAGGGCCTCTTGGGCTCTTCTTGGGGCTTTCTTATGACATCTTAAGGCTTGAGAAGCGCAACGGGAGAGCAACGGCGAGAGAGCAAGCATGATAACATTTTCTTGCGTTTGTTGAAGGTCTGGAGTCTTGGCTTCTCGGGGAGGTCCTGAGGGGTCTGCAAAAGCACCTTCAACCGTCTTGTGTCTTGTGGCCCTCTTAAGGCCTTTTGGAAGCATGGTGGAGCTCATCTTGAGCGACCTTACACTGTCTTGAGCCATCTTGGAGGCCATCTATGAGCCCTCTTGGAGCCATCTATGGGTATCTTGTGCGCCCCACCCCCTCGCGGGGACCCCCGTCCAGGTCCAGGGGAGGGGGTATGGGGACGGGTAAACCCGTCCCCGAAGGGGAAGAAGGGGTTGTGGAAGAGGAAACAGGAACATCGTTAAACCGCCTGTCGCCCAAATGGCTGGCGGGATTTTAGCGGCTGGTGGTTGCGGGCAGAAGTGCCTTGGGTGTTGGCTTGAGGCTTGAATTTGATGTGCACGTATTTCGATATTTCGGCATTTTTTGTTTTAAACTTTCGGTAGTAGGTAGTAGGTGGTAGGTTTTAAGTGCTGCGATTACGCGTCGGGCGTAGGCTTAGACTGGGCCCCCTTGTAGGTGTAGGTGCGTAGGTTTTGTAGGGCTTGCCACAGCGGCACCAGCCGTGTACATGCAATGCAATGTAGGGTCTCAGCGAGCGCTTTGCATTTATCGCGCTCATGTTTGTTTCTTGTAGCTTGTAGCTTGTAGCGTGTAGCCAGCGCTGGCCGCTGGCGAACATTTGCTGCCCGCGTTGTCCTTGCTGCGGCCCCGACGCAGATGCGCGGAAAGGCGCGCGGCAGGTGTTGTCATGAAAACCTCGAGCCCGCCAGTGCCTAAGACAGCGCGTGCGCCCGCTGTTGCGCGCGGTTTGTTGTTATGTCTGGCAATGGTAGGCTTGTCATCAGCGCTGGCAGGCACTCACGCAAGCACGCTAGTCGCTAGTATACTGCGCTGCACTGCCATTATTTCACGCGCGCGGTGTTGGTTCACAAGTCGATGCGCCGCGCAGCGCCACGTCGCCGCATGCGGTATGCTTACAGGCATCCGCGGCGTGGGACATATTTTCTGAATATGCAGCTTCACCTTGCCGTTCTTGCGCGCTGGTACATCAACGCATTCGCCTGGCGGAAGTTGCATTGTATGAGCCGTTGATGTTGGGCCGTGGGCCCTGCGGCAATTCGGCAAATGGCTCGCGCGCCCCAGCCACCAGCATCCCAGCAGCTCAATGGGTCGCGCGCCCCAACTCCCAGCAGCTGGGCTGCGCGCGGGGCCGCGCCGCGTAGTTCCCGCCCACCTGGCGGCGCGAATTTTCTCTGGCTGCACGAGCGCTTGCGCTTGCGACGGGCCAGCTGGCCAGCTGGCCAGCTGCTGGCTATGGGCTATGGTTTGGACGTCTCGATCGGTTTGTGTTTGCGCCCAGGCGCGTTGTTTGCAGCGTGGCCTGCGCGTCCGTTCATGGTTCAGCTGTCAATGTTGAGCATGATGGCGTTGGCGATCGTTTACTTGCCCGACCGCGGCCTGAGTTATGAATGGCGCCATCGGCTTCGGGCATTATCGAAGCGCGGTTTCTTGGTCCTCGGCTGCCCTGCAGTCGCGGCAGGCCCGAGGTCAGAGGTGATTTGGTTATAGATTCGATGGGCGGGCATGTGCGGGCTCGCCATTTCGGGGCCGCGCGCTTTTGCACCTGCCGCGGCACATTCGGCGGGCGGTATGGGCGCGCGATTGCCGTGAGAGCTGT